TAAAAAATAGGGCTGGGGACGTGGCTCACATAGTGGGTACTGGAAAAAATCCCCAGTACCCACCACCAAAAAAAAAAAAAAAAGAAAAGAAAACCCAAATTGTCTCTGAGGGACTGAACTGGAAAATCAAACTAACACTTTGAATGTGAACTTCTTATAAGGGCAAATATCCTCATGGCTTAAGTCAAATAAGCCAGGGATTCCATTATTTTGCAGCAGAAGACATCTAAATTGATAGAATATATTGTTTCAAAAATAGAATCTCATTATCTAGGTGGATCATTTTGTCCCCTTAAGACTGAAAGGCTCATATCCCAGGAATCGCCTCAGTCCCTGAAAACCTGGACCATTGTTTATCCCTACGTCACAGATACTTCGGCAATTTTTTTCACTTAATATATCTTGCATGTCTTTCCATATTCACATATGAACCCTTACACAACACTTCCATTTTATTAATTTGGATGCTATGTAGAATTCCTTTAGATGGATCGTTCCACTAATAAATGTTTTAAATAACCTTAGCCTATTTGTTTTGATAATTACATTGTTCCTCCTGGGTATTCCCCCCACCCACAATGAACACAATACCTTTATTTGTTTATTTTTATGTGGTGCTGAGGATCAAACCCAGTGCCTCACACACACCAGGCAAATGCGCTACCACTGAGCCACCACCCCAGCCCTCCCTCCTGGTCTTAAAAGAAGCATTACATACACTTGGTTTGCAACTCCTTTTTTTTTTTTTTTTTCTTTGCTTGTAAGATTTTATAATATGGTAATCTTTGAGTAGGCAAATAAATCCATAAGTAAACAAAAAAACCTCCTGGAGACATCGCCTCATGTTTTAACATGCTGCTTACTCATCAACCTCTCTTAATAGAACTGTCTCATACTTTCCGTCTTAATCCTGCCCATCCATTTCCCCTTCATTTGTTCTATCCTCATGAACTTTGGATTTGAAAGCAGAATTTGCTGACATCACCACAAAAGCGTTGCCTGCCCTGCATCTCATCCAAATGATGTTTCCAGACTTTCGAACTTGAAATGAATTTGCTGGAATCCAAGTTGTACCAAATTTTGAAGAATAAAGTAAAAGAATGAACCAATTTTCTCAGGAACAATTAGATCAAGAACATTTTGTTCTGTTCCTTGAAAGACATATTTCTTCTGGAAAGGGGAATGTGTATCCTTTAGGATTATTTTAACATAAGAAAAGAAAACTCATTGCAAGTGACTTTAAGATAAGGAGTTTTATTATTGTTTCTCAAAACAAGAAGTCCAGACGTGAGGGAAATCCTGGGCTCAGCTCAGAAGTTGGTTGACGTCATCCAGGACATCGATTCTCTCCATCTTTCTGTTTTTCCGTGTTCAGTGATTGGGCTTTGTTTCCAAGCTTGTTCCCTCTTGACTACAAAATAGCTGCAACATCACACACTCAAAGAATGGCATCTCAAGACAGAAAAAGGAAATGTCCTTATCATCTATTACTTTTTTGAAAGTGAGGAAAATCTTCCCAGAAATGTTGCAGATATTCTCCAATCTTATTTGACCTGATCATATCTGTATCTTTATCTAAACAATCACTCAGAAACGCATGAATGTGTCAGTCATTATAAGCTCAGGCGAATCAAGAGCCATCTCCTGCTTCCCTTAAAGAACATCACAATATGGCCACTGGAGGAAGGGGAACAGAGCCAAGCAACAGGGAGAAAACTGTCAGGTGAGGGGAGTAAGAAGCCACTATTGGATGGCCTGATAGATAAGACGCTGTGGGGCACACATGTAAATCCCTGCTAGTTTGGAGGCTAAGGTAAGAGGATCTCTCAAGTTCAAGGTCAGATTGGGCGATAATTCAGCCACACCCTGTTTCAAAATTTAATTTTTTTTAATAGGACTAGGTATGTAGTACAGTGGTAGAGCACTTGCCTAGCATGCATAAGGGACTAAGCCAGGACTCAAAAATCACCCGAACTGGGGAGGTAAAAAAAAGATAGGACAGCTTCCAGAATTTTATCAGGTTATATATACTTTGGGGAACTGAGGATTCTCTCAAGTGGTATTCCAGTTATAAAATGGTTCTCTCAAGTGGTATTCCAGTTATATAATGGTTCCTGGTTTTGGTTTAAATAGGATTACTAGGAGGTTAGTTTTAAAAATTATTTTGGCTCTGTTGTTGATTTAAAAACAACATCTACAGCAGCACCTCTCTAAGCCTCAGTTTCTTTGTATGTAAAATGGGTCTAATAAACTGGAAATGACACACAGAGTCACTTGGAACAGTTCCTGGCACTTAGTGAGCATGTGTAAATACTTGTTATGCCAGTTTTTGATACAATTCCAAGATAAATTATCTCGTTTCCTAAACTGCACCAAATTGGGTAAAAATGGCAAGTTAGAAAATGTCTAATGACTTAGAGGCATTTATTGATTTAAAGTTCATTCCAAAAGGTGGCTGCCAAATGTACCTTTTTTGGGGGGGAGGAGGTACTGGGGATTGAACCCACAGATGCTTTACCCTGTGCTACATCCCCAGCTCTTTTTATTTTTATTTTGGGAAAGGGTTTCACTAAGTTGCTTAGGGCCTCACTGATTTGCTAGGCTGGCCTTGAACTTGTAATTCTCCTGCTTCAGCCTCCAGAGCCACTGGGATTACGGGCATGCACCACCATGCCGGCCAGACTTTAAAAGTTTTGAACTTTATACATCCCAGCGGGGCCAGGCGCCAGGCTCGCCCTCCTTGTTCCCTTCCCCAGCCACCCCCTCCCCCTTCACCGTGAGCAACTTGAAGCCTGACAGCCAGCACAATCCTGGAGGAGGAGGTTCGGACATTGTCAGTGGCCTCCCTGTGGACATTAAACCCAGAGAACTCTACCTGCTCTTCCAGCCATCAAGACACATGAAGGGTCCCTGATCAAGCTCACCTGGAGACAGCCTGTTGGTTTTGTCATCTTTGACAGGCAGGAGCAGAAGCCTCCAAGAATGCACTGAAGCATATTCGCTTTGATCCTGAGAACCCACAAACCATTGAGGCTACAGTTTGCCAAAGCCAACACCAAGATGGCCAAGAGCAAGCTTATTGCAACACCAAATCCCACCAGTGTTCACCCTGCCCTAGGAGCACATTTCATCACCAGGGATCCCTATGACCTGATAGGGGCTGCTCTGATTCCTGCTTCCCCAGAGGCCTGGGCCCCTTATCCTCTGTATACCACAGAGCTGACCCCAGCCATCTCACATGCTGTGTTCACCTACCCAGATGCCACTGCAGCTGCTGCTGCTGGCCTACATGCTCAGGTGCACTGGTACCCCTCCTCCCACGGCACCCAGCAAGGATGGAAGTATCCCAGTTCTGTTGGTTCTAGAACTATGTGGTGGGGCCAGAATAGGGCCCTGAGCTTCCACTGCCCCCTGCGGCCTGTGCAGAGCTGCTGCTTCTCTGGAGACTGTGAATCTTAAGCCTGACTCAGTGAATGGGTTCCTGTTCCTTTCCCTCTTCCTCAGGCTTGTTCCACCCCAAACCCTTCTCCCAGGCCTCCCTGGAGGATTTGAGGGCCTTCTTGCTGGAACACCCAGCCCCAGCTAGGAGGCCTCACTGTGACCCAGCAAGACCTGACCTGACCTCCTACTCAAACATGCTTCTTAAGCTCTCCCTCAAGGAAAAGAGGCATTTAATTTTGCATGTTTTCTGGCATGAATTAAGACACTTCAACTTGTGTATATGTGAGTGTACAGTTTGTTCTCACACTGTCTCCATAGCAACAGGTCCTAGCTTATGGTGCTTGGTCCCTCTCTCCACACCCCGCCCCTACACCCACCAGGCTTCATAGAGGCCTGAGCCCTGTGGCCACTTCTCCCCCAAGGACCCGTGTGCCACACACACTTCCAGGCTCAGCAACCACCACACAACATTTGCCTTGTCATTTGGAATCAGTCCTCTACTTCCTTCTCAGATGGGCCAATAACTATAAGAAAGTCCTCTCCTCTGCCCATCTTGCTGACCTCTCCACAGGACGCCCTGCCCCCAACACTGCTCCTTGTTTTTTCCAAACCTTAAAAAATCAAACAAGATGTGAAAAGTGTTTTTGTACTCTGTGTAACAAAATATTTATGCATCATAAAGGATTTTCATGTGTGTACTATTAATTATTAAAGAGACCTTGTTTGCCTTGTCAGATAAGTTTAATGTTTGGTTTGAGGCATGAAGAAGAAAAGGGTTTCCATTCTTCAGCAGCGAGCCTTTGTGTCAGGCATTGGTTTAAGAAAAATAAAGAAAAAAAGTTTTTTTTTAACTTTAAGAAATTTGAACTTTAATTCATAGGACAAGATCATTTTATTTTAAACCTTAATTCCTTTTAGACTTTAGTTCAAAACTTTTAGAATTTGAGTTCAATAGACTGAATTAAATGAATTAATTCTAGGACTCTACTCCCATGGGAATTTGATAATTATAGAGATGTTTATGTTCAAATTTGGGTCCTCTCTGTTAGAATTGTATTATCAGAGCATCTTTTTACTATTTAACTCATTGCAAAACCAGTTAAGCACAGTAGTAGTGTGGCTGGATGTAGTTTTAGATAGAAAAATAGAATTAGGGGCTGGGATTGTGGCTCAGAGGGAGAGCACTCACCTTGCTTGTGGGAGGCCCTGGGTTCGATCCTTAGCACCATATAAAGATAAAATAAAGATATTGTGTCCACCTATAACTAAAATAAATAAATAAAAAGAAAAATAGAATTAGCTTTGTCCCAACCTGATCTGAGAACATGTGGTAGATTTTATTTTATAAAATAGATCCCACCAGCTCTGTAACTCAGTGGTAGGGTGCTTGCCTAGCATGTGGTGAAGCACAGGGTTCCGTCCCCAGCCCCAGGCAAAACAAACTAAAATATAAAATAGGCCCTGTAGTGAAATGAGCCAGACACGAAAGGACAGGTGCTGTATGACTGGCTTTTTTTTTTTTTTTTTTTTTTTTTTTTTTAAAATCAAAAATTTTTTTTTAGAATATGTGATTTTGCTTCCTTTGATTAAAAAAAAAAAAAAAAACAAAACAAAATCTGGAACCCAGTTCCTTATCACTACTAAGTCCATTTTCCCAGGAGATGTCACTGTTGGAGATAATAACTTAAGTATTCTTGGAGTGGAGGTAGTCTCTCTCTTCCTAGTGGGTTGTCTTCTTTGCTCCCTTCCCAAACTTGGCATCAAGACCAAGACCCAGGAACACAAGCACAGTGCCTACCCACTGCATGAGGCTAATGGGGTTGGCAAAGAGGATAACAGAGGCCAAAATAGTGAAGAACTTCCGAGTTGTCGTGATGATTGAGCAGGTCAGGGGACCAAAATACACAACTGTCATGAAGATGAAGCTCTGACCCAAGGCACTAGTCAGGCCAAAGAGCAGGATATTATAGATGATGATTGGGTACCTTTCAGCAAAGCTCAAGAACTCCCAGAGCTCCCCAGTGAACAGGATTCCAGCTCCTAGAAGCAATGTCGACCAAAGGTTGATGTTCAACATCATGTGGTTGGAGCCTGTTTGGTAATGAGCCCGCATGTGGTCCTGGGAAACACCTGTCAGTCCATCCAAGGTCAGAGACAATAGCAGGAGTAATTCTCCATAGCCGATTGTGTGTTCTTCCATCCCAACTACTTTCTTGGGTTTGTACATGAAAAGGGCCACTCCAGCCACAATTAGCAACACACACAGGTACTTGGCCAATGGGTACTTCTTCTTCAAGAGGGTCACCCCAAGGAGCATGACTGGGATTGGCTTGCAGGATTTACCAAGGACCTGAGTTGGATAGTTGACAAACTGTAGTGCTGAGTTGCTGGAGACCATAGCACCCAAATAGGACAAAGAACAGGCAGCATAGAGCCAGCTCCGAGTACGATCCACCCTGGCAGTGTCAAAAAAAGATCTTGGCAAACACAGCATTGATCACACACTGGATGAAGACTAGGGTTAAGGCAAAGGTGAACGTCTCCTGTTTGGCTCCCTCCCCATATTTTCCTCTTGTTATCTTTTCCTGCAGGATCCCATAGTAGAAATAGCAGACAAAGACACCAAGGAAGCAGAGCGGCAGGCGCAGCCGGTCGGGCACCAGAGATTTGCTAGCGGCCATGAGACGCCCGGACGAGCCGACCACAGACCCGCTCACAGCCGGTAACGGCACCGGCGGCGGAGGCGACAACTCCAGGCGGACATCGCCGACCGGCGGCAGGGGCCTCAATATGACTGGCTTTTTATGAGGTCTATCTAAGTAGTCAAACTCAGAGACAGGAAGTAGAATGGGATTGCCAGGGGCTGGGGACAGGAGGGAACAGGAATTTGGCGTTTAAAGGGTAGAGAGGTTGAGTATGGGCATGTGAAAAAGCTCTGGAGTCGGATGGTGGTGACGTCTGCCCACTAATGTGAATGCACTTAATGCCACTGAAGGGTACACTAAAGAATGGTTAAGAATAACAATGGATTGTTGTTTTCTAACACTAAATTTGTAAGAGTCTATGATGCAGCAATTATAACTGGAACAAAAATGATTTAACTAATATTTTTTATCTGACTCTTTCATTCTCTGGGTTGTCTTTGTCCCTTCTTGAGATAAAATATACACTGGCCAGCAGTGGTCCTAAGAGGACATTCAGAGGTCCATTCCAATATCAGAAGGTGGGAATAACACCCTCTAGGCTGTTAACCACTGAGCCACATCCCAGCCCTTTTTATATTTTATTAGGGCCTCACTAAGTTGGTGAGGCTGGCTTTGAACTTGCAATCCTCCTGCCTCAGCCTCCCAAGCCACTGGGATTACAGACATGAGCCACTACCCTGGGCAGGTGATGGCACACTTGATAAACTCTAAGCAATGAAAGAACAAATAGCTGGATACCCTGTCCCATCCCCCTCCTCACATTTCCCGTGGAAACATCCACCTGAGCCCCACTCTTGGCCTCTCTCCCTCTCCTTTCTCAGTATTCCTTTCAGAAGTGGCATCTGAGAGAAAGATCTGGGCATGCTGATCCCAGTCCCTTCTGCTCTGCTTTTGGGATGGACTGAGTCCTGGTTGACATCTCTGCCATACAAAAATGAATCATTCGCCTAGTGGATCCCCTGACCGAGGAATGTCACTTCAGCCCTCTTGGCAGTAGGCCTTAGCCCTGTTCCCTTAGCAGCTTTATAGATAATAAAAGTGATAATTAAATTTCCAGCTGCCAGACTTCCGTGTCTGCATCTCAAATAATTCAAAATGCAAAAGGGAAGGAGAAGGGTATGTAATTTCTTTGACATCAACATTTCCTGCCTGTCCTTCAAATCTTCTCCTTGTTCTTTAAGACCCGGAGCAAATGCCAGCCCAGATGCCCCTCCTTCCCAGGTAGGCATGACCTGACCTCTCACTGTTGTTTTTCCTGGGTTCCTTTTTAGGTACTTGTAACATCTGGCTTTAAAGTCATCTGTGCACTTCTCATCCCTCATTACTACCTGGCATAACTCGTCTTCAGCTGTGATAACTGGGCTTTGAAACAACCAAACTTCCTTTTACTGTCCTGCACTCATGTTATTTGCCAAATGCAGACTCTCGTGCATCAGCTGGCAAAATGAATATTCCCAGGGATCTCACAGCAGAGTTGCTCGCCAGCCAATGGCTGGTCTGTAGTTTCATCACTTTTATTAGGATGCCAATCGATTATTTAATATTTTATTACATTTTCAGTGATTTATAAAATAAGTGTTAAGTAGAAAAATAAAAACGTTCAACCTGATGATTAAAAAAATGAAGATCTCATAAACTTGATGCTGTTTAGGTAAAGTTGGAAATCGTGAGGCACACTGAATGCTAGGGATATTACGCCCCTATTTGAATATTTCATTTGACTGTGTTTGTGAAGAAAAATGGGCAAAATGGAAAGGATCAGTAGAACATGGCATATTAATCAGGTTCTGCAGAGGACCAATAGGATCAATAGAGAGAGAGCAATAGAGATAAAATTGTTAAAATAGTAATATGTTGTGTTGTGTGTAGTTAACTACAATATAAGAAAAGGAATGTGGTGAATCACCCGCTTCGTTAGTTTGACATGTGTTTTTACTGGTGAGTTAGTTACGACTTTGTGGTTGTAAATTACAGAAGCAATGAAGCTACTTGGAGTAAATAGGGAATATATTAAGGGACTGGAGTGTATCCCAGAACCCAAGGGCAGGAATGCTAAGAGGTCTTGAGAAGGACTAGAATCAAGAACTGAAGGGCCATCTGAGTTCTGCCCTGTCTCTGCTTTCCTCTGTGATTCTGTTGCATCCTCATCACCCATGCAGTCTGGTTTCTCTGACCCCCTGGTCCACTGGATGGACCAGGCTTGCTGCCTTCTTCTCTCTGCGGCTTCTGGAGATGTTACACTCCCATGTTAATAGTAGTTCACACTGTCTCAGCCCAATTCTACAGTCCCAAAGAAGGAACACTGACTAGCATGTCCTGAGTCTGGTGGCCTTCCCTGGTTCACTTAGCCCTGGCCTACAGGTGGTACAAACTTGAATGCCTCTGAGAGAGGAATGGCTGAGCATATACATCAAACTGTGCCTTAAAATTTGGAAGTATTGCCAAGTGTAGTGGTGTATGTCTAGAATCTCAGTAACTTGGGAGACTGAGGCAGGAGGATCATAACTTTGAGTCCAGCCTGGGCAATTCAGCAAGATATCCTATTTAAAAAATAAAAAGGATTGGGGATATAGCTCAGGTAAAGCAACTCTGGGTTCAATCCCCAATACTGGGAGTGGGGGATGGGATTCAGCCTGCAGTGATTTTGAGACCAAAGGAAATGGCATGGAACATAACCATGATCCAAAATAGCCAACAATATTCAGAATGTTGAATAATTAACTCAGTCTCAACCCATCACAAAAAAATATCCATCCATCAGATGGACAGGCTAATCAGGATAGTGACAGCTGTACACAACTAGGAGTGGGCTGAGCATTAGTCCTGAGATGGCCCCCAAAGATAGAGGAGCAAGTGCCCAAGGGACCCCTGTACCATCACAAGGTCACTTAGGCACCCTTCCTACACCATCATGAGAAGGACTAGGAGGAGGAGGACCGCTTGGGTTTCAGCATCCACGGGATGCTAATATGTGTGGAAAAGAACACAAGATGTTATTCATGTTTCCATTAACACTGAACTAGCTTATAAATCTATCAACCTAAATTTTTTCAAAAGGCTTTAAGCTCAACATATAAATTTTATATATTTATAGATCTAGTAATTCCTTGTATTAAAATAAAAAGTACTCACTTTTGCTTTCTTTTTAATTTATTCTCAATAAGCTTATACATTTTATAGATGAATTGCTCCCTAAACATTTAACACATTTGCAAACTCAATTAATTAAATTCCTTTAGAGATTTCAAACCTCGGTCACAAACACAGCATATCTGAATTCTCCTAAGAGCTTCAAATATCAAAAACAGACTTATAAATCTAGCAAGTAAAATCTTCCTAATTATTCAAGTGATTCATAAACCTTGGAAAGCAGATTTACAAATTTAATAAATAAGCCAGATTATCTTAATCACCAAGAGCATCATAAAGGAAAAAAACCATATGAGCAGTATAAAAATTCAAAATTTGTAATTATACTTATATAAACACAATTTACACCAAGTTGTCAATGCTGTTAATTCTTTACTTAATCTAGGAGTTATAAATGACTCATGTAATCAAGGGGAACAGAATTGCCATATTAAGCATATTAATTGAATTTATGAACTCCAGATACTGAAGGTCCCCAGGGCTCAGTCCTTGAACTTCCTGGCCGTCTCATTTAGTCCTATGGCTTTAAATACCATCTATGTGCTGATGAATGCTTCCTTTGCATACCTCCAGATCCAGGAGGCATGTTGAGCACCCATATTCCTGATCTTCCTTTCCCAGACATTAAGTAGAATCGTGCTTCCTCGCCCCCTTGAAGGCCACGTGATTGACTTGAGCCAAGGAAAAGCAATGGGTCATTTCAAAGTGAATGTATGTATTTCATTGCTGGCATGAGACTCCCATTTTTTTCTTCCTCTGGCCATAGTAGTAGTCCAGATATTTGAGCTTCTCTTATTCAGCGACCCAGAGGGGAAATAACATGAAACAGAATTCTACATATGACAAACATTTGTGTTAATCCAATGAGATTTTGCAATTGTTCCTGCAGCCTTGGACATCACACTTATCTGCCCAGACTTCTCAACTCTAGAAAAAGATCACAAATGCTGATTCAACATCTCCACTCAGACATCTAGAAATGAAGTTTCAGAGGGCACTAAAGAGAAATAATTGCCATATCAAACCCATTTTTTTTTTTCATGGTAGTGCTGGGGATTGAACCCAGGGGCACTCTACCACTGAGCTACATCCCCAGCCTTTTTTATTTTTGTGTTTTGAGACAGGCTCTTGCTAAGTTGCCTAGGCTGTTCTCATATTTTTGCTCTTCCTGCCTTTCATGTAACTAAGATTACCAGCATGCAGAAATGTATATTTTTCAGAGATTTCATTAGCCAGGGAAAATAGAAATCACACTAGGAATTTCCAATGGAAGAGATATAATACAAGTAATTGATTGCAAAGGTGTCAAGCAACTGGGAGGAAAAACAAAAAAAAGGAAATGCTGCAGCCAGCCAGAGGTTACTGAGGACAGCAGCTACCACATCCAGGACTGGGGAGGAAAAGGGAGGAGGTGGTATAAGTAGAACCAGGACTTCAGAGGACAGAGTTCTGCAGGGCTGATGCTCAGACATCTCCCTGCACAGATGGTGCTCTGCCCTCTGATGAGGGGGTGGAGCTGGATGTGAGTTTGAACTGTTGGGAAGGTGTACGAATACACCAAATTTTCTTTAATCCATCCATAAATGAACACCTGAGTTGTTTTCTACATTTTGGCTATTGGGAGTAATGCTGCTATCAATATGGGTGCTATGGATTGACTGTCTCCTCCAAAAGTTCATGTTGCAAACTTACTTCCCAAATGTATATATTAATATTATTTGGCGATGGGCCTTTGGGAGGTAATTAGGATTACATGAGATCATGAAGGTGGGGTCCCCATAGTGACATTAGTATCTTCACAAGTAAAGGAAGAGTGACCTGAGCTAACACGTTTTCTCTGTCTCACCATGTGTTGCTTTGTGCCATGATGTGATACTGGATAAAGGCCAACCTGATACTGGCATCAAGCTCTTAGACTTCCC